GTCTGACTGCCAGCTTGGGCCCGATCCCCCCCCAGGGAGCGGGCCTAAGCCAGCAGGTGGACATCCTCTGAGGGGTCCCAGACTGCAAGAGGGAATATGCCGGGCTGAGGGACACCCCCCCTCCCAGTGCACAAATTTCTGTGCACTGGGCCTCTAAAATATATATATATATATAAACTAAACTTTTTTTAAAGAACCAACCAATGAATTCATAAATAAGAGGGACTACAGATCAACATTTCTCTCTCTCCCCTGTCTAGAAATCAATTTTTAAAAAATGGATTAATGAAGTAAATATAAGGGCTAAAATCATAACCTCTTCTAAGTGGAAAATCACGATTAACCCCTTGCCTCACTTTCCTCAGGTTAGCCTAAGGAGCACTGCTAGTTCAGGATGGCAGGGAAAGGTTGAAGGCTATGCTTTCTGCAAAAACTTCATGACCTTGGATTTGGAAATGTATTCTTAGATATGATGCTAAAAGCACAAGCAACAATAAAAAAACAGATAAGTTGGACTTGATCCAAATTAAGAACTTTTAGAACATTATAAAGAGAGTGAAGGCAACCCACAGAATGGGAGAAAATATTTATGAATCATATATCTGATAAGGGATTAATATCCAAAATGCAAAAAGAATTCCTGCAATTCAAAAACAAAAAAAAATCAAAAATGAGCAAAACATCAATACATGAATGGATAAAAAAAGTTGAGGTACAGCCGAAACCGGTTTGGCTCAGTGGATAGAGCATCGACCTGCGGACTGAGGGGTCCCAGGTTCGATTCCGGTCAGGGGCATGTACCTGGGTTGCGGGCGCATCCCCAGTAGGAGATGTGCAGGAGGCAGCTGATCGATGTTTCTCTCTCATCGATGTTTCTAGCTCTCTGTCTCTCTCCCTTCCTCTCTGTAAAAAAATCAATAAAATATATTTTAAAAAAAAAAAAAAAGTTGAGGTACATATCTACAATGGAATATTGGCCATAAAAAAGAATGAAATCTTGCCACTTGTGAGAGCATGAGTGGCATATCTCCCTGATATGCCACGGTTGTGGGTTCGAGCCCCTGTTTTCCAACCCCTGTCAGGGGACATATAATAATCAGCCAACTTCAGGCCTGATCCGCGCAGGCCAGACCAAGGGACCCCACCAGTGCACAAATCTGTGCACCGGGCCTTTAGTATAGTTAACAATATTATAAAAACAGCCCCAGCTGGTTTGGCTCAGTGGATAGAGTGTCAGCCTACAGACTGAAGAGTCCCGGGTTCAATTCCAGTCCAGGGCACATGCCCAGGTTGCAGGCTTGGTCCCCAATAGGGGGCGTGCAAGGGACAGCCAATCAATGATTCTCTCTCACCATTGATGTTTCTATCACTCCTCCCTTCCTCTCTGAAATGAATAAAAATATATTTTTAAAAAACCAACACTTGAATTTGAGTGAAACATCTAAGTGTGGATCTTTCTAATTACTGGTATGGTCTTAAGTACCATGACTTTAGGGCCAAGGAGACTAAGTTGGCAAGGTCTCTTTATCCTGGTTCATTATTCTTCCTCTCTGTGTTATAACTGGGTTGTTCTAAAGCTTTGTTTTCTTCTAGACAAAACAATCTTTTTGGTTGCTTATTAGCACCTACTGCCAAATTTTTGTCTGCCTATAGCCTGGTCTTTGCTTTCATGCTGCTTTGTTCTCTGCAGCTAATTTTGCCACTCCAGTCTTCGTGCTGAACCTCATACCCCACACCAGGGGGCAGTATCAGGAGCTGTCTGCTCTTTCAATCTACTCCCAAGGGAGCTTCTGTAAATGGTGCCTTCTGGTATCAGTGTTCACTGATCCCTATTAGCCTTCCACTACAGCCAAGTTTCATTTTTGGGTCCCCCAAAATGAGGACATTAATCCAGACTAACAACTTCCGTCTTCTTTAAGTCACAATATCAGAGTTGAATTGGCCTTAGAAGGCTAGTTTGAAATACTTAACTTCCAGGGAAAATGAAGTAAGACAAGAAATTTGTCCAAGCCCACCTATGCACTTGATCTGCTATCAGTAGCACTTAATCACAACTATTTTGTTCTCAATTACATTAAGGGGGGGGGGGGGGGTTTCAAGATCCTTTCTACCTGCAGCCTCAGGAACTGAGTCGTTAAACTCTCTTTTTTTTTTTTTTGGTGCCCTTGACTGGAATCGAACCTGGGACCCTTAAGTCCACAGGCTGACGCTCTATCCACTGAGCCAAACTACTCAGGGCAAAACTAACTCTTAGCTGAGATATGGTTGTTTCATTCCAGCAACAATTGCATGGGGGAGGGGAGGAGGACTTGGGTTGGGAGTAAAAAAGCTATAGGTTTACAAACTCAAAAGATGGGATCAAGTAGTTCATTACTTGCAATCAGAATATTTAAGGAGAGAAGTACTAGTGCTGAAGCCATAAAAAAAAGGCCTACACTCTTAGCAAATGCTGGATTAAAAACCTTATGTTGAATCTGCTCAGTTATGCTTAGACTTTACAAAGTTACACTCACAAACACATTATCTTTGATCCTGAAACTTCTAAATTAAGAACCTTGATATTTCACTTGAAACCCTCTAGGCCTAACCTCTCCTTAAAAAATTTTTTTTTAAATGTCACTGGGATGCACACTTGAAAATGGTTAAGATGGTAAATTTGCTATGTATGCCCTAACCCAGTGATGGCGAACATTTTGAGCTCAGCGTGTCAGCATTTTGAAAAACCCTAACTTAACTCTGGTGTCAGGTCACATATAGAAATTTTTTGATATTTGCAACCATAGTAAAACAAAGACTTATATTTTTGATATTTATTTTATATATTTAAATGCTATTTAACAGCCGAAACCGGTTTGGCTCAGTGGATAGAGCATCAGCCTGCAGACTGAAAGGTCCCGAGTTCGATTCCGGTCAAGGGCATGTACCTGGGTTGCCGGCACATCCCCAGTAGGAGATGTGCAGGAGGCAGCTGATCGATGTTTCTAACTCTCTATCCCTCTCCCTTCCTCTCTGTAAAAAATCAATAAAATATGTATTTTTTTTTTAAAAAAAATTTGCTATGATATTTTACCACATATTTTTTAAATGCTAAAAATAAAACAAGGAAGTTTGAAAAAATAAATATTTGAGAATATATTTTTATTCATTTCAGAGAGGAATGGACAGAGAGACAGAAATATCAATGATAAAAGAGAAACATTGACTGACTGCATTCTGTATGCCCTCCACTGGGGATGGAGCAGCTAGTTGGGATTGCAACTTGGGAACTTGCCCTGACCAAAAATCAAACTGTGACCTCCTGGCTCAAAGGTCAACACTCAACCACTGAGCCATACCAGTTGGGCTCAAATATATTCTTAAATCATAAAAATGTATTAGTTGTATCTGCCTATTGTTTTTGGTTAAGTTGTCTTAGTCCTATTTTATTTTCCGTATGTCAAAACTGTTCATATAGTACTTTTATTTATTTATTTATTTATTTATTTATAAAATATATTTTATTGATTTTTTACAGAGAGGAAGGGAGAGAGATAGAGAGTTAGAAACATCGATGAGATGAGAAACATCGATCAGGTTTCGGCTTATTTTTTTATTTTTAATTGATTTCAGAGAGGAAAGGAGAGGGAATCATTGATCAGCTGCCTCCTGCATGCCCCACACTGGGGATTGAGCCCTCAACCCCATGCATATGCCTGACCGGGAATCAAACATGAGCCCCTGGTTTATAGGTCCATGCTCAACCACTGAGCCACACCAGCTGAGCTATTACCTTTATTTTTAAAACCCCAATAAAACAGCCCTAACCAGTGTGGCTCAACTGGTTGAGCATTATCCCATGCACCAAGAGGATGCTGGTTGGGTTCCCAGTCAGGGCACATGCCCACATTGCAGGCTCTATCCCCAGTAGGGGTTGTGCAGGAGGCAGCTGATCGATGTTTCTCCTTCAATGATGTTTCTCTCTCCCCCTTCCTCTCTCTAAAATCAATAATATATTTTTAAAATAATACAATAAGCCTTATCTGGTTATTCCTATACAGTTGGAATAAAAACCCTTTATAGCCCTAACCAGTTTGGCTCAGTGGATAGAGCGTCGGCCTGCGGACTGAAGGGTCCCAGGTTCAATTCCAGTCAAGGGCATGTACCTTGGTTGCGGGCACATCCCCAGTAGGAAGTGTGCAGGAGGCAGCTGATCGATGTTTCTCTCTCATCAATGTTTCTGACTCTCTATCCCTCTCCCTTCCTCTCTGTAAAAAAAAATAAAATAAAATAAAATCAATAAAATATATATACATTTTTTAAAAGCCTTTATAGCCCTAGCCAGTTTAGCTTCAGTGGACAGAGCATCGGACTATGGGCTGTGAAGGGTCCCAGATTCGATTCCAGTCAAGGGCACATGCCTGGGTTGCAGGCTCAATCCACAGTAGGGGGCGTGCAAAAGGCAGCCAATCAATGATTCTCTCTCATCATTGATGTTTCTATCTCTCTCCCTCTCCATTCCTCTCTGAAATCAATAAAAAAAATTTTTTTAAAGCCTTTATAGCAGTGGTTCTCAACCTTCCTAATGCTGTGACCCTTTAATACAGTTCCTCATATTGTGGTGACCCCCAACCATAAAATTATTTTCGTTGCTACTTTAGGACTATAATTTTGCTACTGTTATGAATCGTAATGTAAGTATCTGATATGCAGGATGTATTTTCATTGTTACAAATTGAACATAATTAAAGCATAGTGATTAATCACAGACACAATATGTAATTATATATGTGTTTTCCTATGGTCTTAGGCGACCCCTTTGTGAAAGGGTCGTTCAATCCCCAAAGGGGTTGCGACCCACAGGTTGAGAACCACTGCTTTATAGTCTTCTCCCCAAGCTTTTCTATTACCCTACCCCCACATCGAACGCACTATAATCCAGAAACTTCAATTTCTTAAAGAAACATAATCACTCTCCTTGTTTGGTAGACTTTGTTCCTAACACCTCTTTCCCATCCATCCACCATTTTGTTGTCTTGTCACCAAACAGACTGAATTACCTTCCCCATGTTTGTCAGTGAACTGGAAAGCCTGAACTAGTCTCAGAGTCTCATCCACAGAGCGGCCAACAGGAAGGTCATTCACAGTGATCTGGCGAAGGATACCTTTCTCATCAATGATAAAGAGGCCCCTGGGAAGAAAAGATTGAAGGTTTGAGAAAGAGGCAGTACATATTTAACAACTGGTTTGTTAGGCTGCCCTGGCTGGGTAACTCAGTAGCTTAGTGTTGTCCTGATATGCCAAAATTACGGGTTTGATTCCTGGTCAGGGCACATACAAAAAACAACCAATAAATGCATAAATAAGCGAAACAATAAATTGATGTCTCTCTCTCCTTCCTCTCTCTCTAAAATTAATCAATAAATTTCTAAAAATTAAAAACTGGTTTGCCCTAACCGGTTTGGCTCAGTGGATAGAGCGTTGGCCTGCCGACTTAAAGGTCCCAGGTTCGATTCTGGTCAAGGGCATGTATCTTGGTTGCAGGCACATCCCCAGGAGGGGGTGTGCAGGAGGCAGCTGATCGATGTTTCTAACTCTCTATCCCTCTCCCTTCCTCTCTGTAAAAAAATCAATAAAATATATTTTTTAAAAAATTAAAAACTGGTTTATTAGAATAGAGAAGCAATGGAAATGGGCTGGTCTTCCAGACATGAACAGGCCTTGCCCTTATTGAGGATGCCCCTGCATAAAGAATGAGACCAATCCCTGGCCAGCATGGCTCAGTGGTTGAGTGATGACCTGTGAACCAGGAGGTCACAGTTCAATTCCCAGTCAGGGCACATGCCCGGGTTTGGGCTCAATCCCCCGTGGGGGGCATGCAGAAGGCAGCCCATCAATGATTCTCTCTCATCATTGATGTTTCAATCTCTCTCTTCCTCTCTGAAATCAATAAAAATATATATATTTTTAAATGAGACCATCATGCTGTACACCTTAAATTTAAAGCAGTGATGTATATCAATTACTTCATTTTATTTTTTTGTTGATCCTCATCTGAGGATATCTTTCCACTGATTTTAGAGTGGAAGGGAGAGGAAAAGACAAAGAGAAACATCAAAGTGACATGGGTTGGTTGCCTAACATATATGCCCCGACCAGGGCCAGGGATTGAGCCTGCAACCAAGGTAGGTGCCCTTGACTGGAAATCAAACCCGGGACTCTTAAGTCTGCAGACTGACATTCTATCCACTGAGCCAAACTAGCTAGGGTGATATATCAATTACTTCTTAATAAAACTGATTTAAAAAAATGAAATGAGAAAGGAGTCTGTTCAGATCAGGGCTCTACCTTTCTCCAAATAAAAGGGCCTCAGTCAATCATATCTATCACAATAAATGTCAGCCACACCCCTGCCCCAATCATATCTATTACAATAAATGTCAGCCACACCCCTGCCCCAATCATATCTATTACAATAAATGTCAGCCACACCCCCCGCCCCCAAGTATATACCTGAATGAGATGCCTTCATCAGCCTTTAAGACTCCATAGTCCTGAGCAATGGTGCGCTTGGGGTCTGACACCAAAGGAATGTTCATGGGACCCAGTCCTCCTTGTTTCTTGGGTGTGTTGATCCTACAGCAAAGGGCACACATATAAATCACATTCACGCAAACTCCTGTGTACCAAATCCATTGACTGTATCTACACCCTCCCCCTTTCCAACATTTCTAACCTACTTCCCAGAAACTTCAAACTTTTCCAGCAGTAAACTGAATGGCTAAGGATAGTTAAGGTCACCAGGGTATACTCAGCTGCAACCCAAGTTGCTTCTCCTCTGCTGCCAAGTAATAAGAAAGCAACAAGAGGAAGCCAGAGCCTTTGCACTCCTTCCATGAGGAGCCAGAAGCCAATACTTGAGAAAGTCTATTGCCAAAGCCTCCTAATACCAGTTCCTCCTTAGTTAAAAAGTCCATATGTCAAATGGACCAACGGATTTACCATGCCAGGTGACAGAAGTGAGAATCCACAGAAGCCCCAATCACTTGGCAGTTGATTTTCTTAAATTCTTCTGCCCTATCACTGAAAGCAATGATCTCCGTGGGGCACACAAAGGTAAAGTCAAGAGGGTAAAAGAAGAACACCACATATTTTCCTGGAAAAAAGAAAAAAAGAACCCCAAGTTAGCCTTTGAAAGAAGACATCCTTTATAGAGAACAGACAAGAAAACACATATTCCAACGGAAAAAGAGGCCCTTTTAAGTTGATGTCAGACACAATTGCTAGATGTCAGGATGCTCAAACATAGATGTCTCCTGGCAGCCACTTTCAGAACCTCTTGCAGGAGGACCTGCATGGAAAAGGTCCTTCCCAGTCCATGCTTTATTTTTCTGTCTCCATGTTAGCTGCCAAATACAGAACTAAATTTTTTAAAAATATATTTTTATTCATTTCAGAGAGGAAGGGAGAGGAAGAGAGAGACAAAAGCATCAATGATGGAGAGAATCATTGATTGGTTGCCTCCTGCACGTACCCTCCTGGGGATCAAGTTCACAAACTGGGCATGTGCCCTGACCAGGAATCGAACCTTTTCTTAGGTGGACACTCAACCACTGAGCCATACCAGCCAGGCTGTTCAGTCTAATTTTTATCTTCTCTGGATAGTTAAAATTAGCACAGGCCCTGACCAGTTTGGCTCGGTGGATAGAGCGTCGGCCTGCAGACTGAAAGGTCCCAGGTTCGATTCCGGTCAAGGGCATGTACCTTGGTTGCGGGCACATCCCCCGTAGTGGGTGACTGGGGATGTGCCCGCAACCCAGGTACATGCCCTTGACCGGAATCGAACCTGGGACCCTTCAGTCCGCAGGCCGACGCTCTATCCACTGAGCCAAACCGGTTTTGGCAACAAAATATATTTTTTAAAAAATTAGTACCGATAACAAGTTCTGCAATGAAGAAAAGCAAAAACAAGAATGCAGTTATCTACTGGATAGTCCAATGCCAATGCTTACAATCAGTGCCCAATAAGAAGCTGAAATGCTGAATTCTCTGCTGCAGGGTAGTAAGAGACCAACAAGAAGTCAGAGCCTTTGCACTTCTTTCACAATGAACCACAGTAATGGAGTGGGTAAGGTTTAAGTGATCGCCTGAATCACCACAAATATGTTCCTTATCAGCCTGACAAGAAAAATTTTATATGGCAAACATTCCAAAAATCCTGGTAGTTAACAGGACTTCCAGTTGGACTTTTACTGAAGTCACTCAGATTACCAACTGAATAGCTCTTCAAAGGCCAGGTAGCCCCTCACACCTATACTTGACACAGGAGTTTGAGGTTTGCGTTCAATTGTCCCAGCTGCTCCCAACTGTGAGGTAAAAGAGAACCTCATTAGAACTTGACAAGTGTCTGCATGAATCTCTAACAGAAAAGAGAGCTATTCCAACCATGACATCAACTCTCCCTTGGGGGCAAAACAGTCAAGTGAATGTGCCTAAACCCTCTACTAATACAGTAGCTATGACACATATTTCATAAACTGAACAAGCAGTGTCACAGCTCCAAATATGAGCTCTGAGATTTTAAATTGTTGAAGACTTCTTATAATGAAATAGTAAGATTGAGATAATCAGATTGTCTCCAATAATACAATTGGGGAGTAGTGAGGAGATAAATGAGCTAATATATTAGTTTAGGCAAAATGAAGTATGTACTTTCTCCAAAATAGTCTGGACCTAGGATAGCTATCGATAATCACCATGTCACTTCAACCTAAAGGCAACAGCCTACCACCCTGAACACCTTGATCTAAGAGGCATAAATTATTTTACAATCAAAAATACAGAAATACAGCCGAAACCGGTTTGGCTCAGTGGATAGAGCGTCGGCCTGCGGACTGAGGGGTCCCGGGTGCGAGTCCGGTCAAGGGCATGTGCCTGGGTTGCGGGCACATCCCCAGTGGGGGCTGTGCAGGAGGCAGCTGATCGATGTTTCTCTCTCATCGATGTTTCTAACTCTCTATCTCTCTCCCTTCCTCTCTGTGAAAAATCAATAAAATATATTTAAAAAAAAAAAAAATACAGAAATACAAAAATCGAACAAGCCATCTCTAGATAGCAAAATAATTGCATTTCAATTAACCTAATGTAATAGGCTTACCTTTGTAGTCAGATAGGCTGATATCTTTGAACTGACCATCAGGCATAACAGCTGTGGCTTTGAAGTTGGGGGCAGGGTGGCCGATTTTAGCATTTCCTGAAGACATCTTGCTATCAGCTGGAAAGGATAAAAGAGGAAATTAACTTGAAACAAGTCTTCTTTTTCTAGATAACCAGTACCCTCCATCAACTTAACTGTATAATAAAGGATTTACCTGGTGGCCCTGAATATATACATTAAGTTTTTTATTTTATTTTTTGTTGTTTTTACATTAACTTTTTTTTAAAACATACTTTATTGATTTTTTTACAGAGAGGAAGGGAGAGGGATAGAGATTTAGAAACATCGATGGGAGAGAAACATCGATCAGCTGCCTCCTGCACACTCCCTACTGGGGATGTGCCTGCAACCAAGGTATATGCCCTTGACCGGAATCGAACCCGGGACCCTTGAGTCCGCAGGCCGATGCTCTATCCACTGAGCCAAACCAGCTAGGGCAGTGATGGCGAACCTATGACACGCGTGTCAGAGGTGACACGCAAACTCTTTTTTTGGTTGATTTTTCTTTGTTAAATGGCATTTAAATATATAAAATAAATATCAAAAATATAAGTCTTTGTTTTACTATGGTTGCAAATATCAAAAAATTTCTACATGTGACACGGCACCAGACTTAAGTTATTAGGGTTTTTCAAAATGCTGACACACGGAGCTCAAAAGGTTCGCCTTCACTAAGCTAGGGCTACATTAACTTTTTTAAAAATTAATTTTACTGGGGTGACATTGGTCAACATGGTCACATAGGTTTCAGGTGTAGGTTTCTGTTACAAGATCTTTATATATTGCACCGTGTGCCCACCACTCAAAGTTAAATCTTCCTCTGTCACCTATGTTAACTTTTAGATTAGTAAGAAGCATACACTTAGCTTTCCAGTTTTTGAAAGAAAACCAGATATTACACATCTCTGAATATCAACTTCTGTTTTCATTTAAAAACAGCAATTTCTTTAATTGCTGAAGTAACCTCCATTACTTTTTCTGAACCATCATTTGTGCAACGGCATTTTCCTCTATAATTTCATCATACAGAAGCAGAGAGGGGAGGGGGGGTGGAGACTCTCAAACCTGAACCCAAACGCACAATGCCAGAGTGCCTGACTCCCAAAAGCGGGTAATACTGCCCTTTCCCTGGGTTGCGCCTCCATCTGTATTCATAGCGTGGGAAGCACACTTGATATTCAAGCACACGTGGTAGTTTGCCAAGAACACATACCCTAAAGCCCATCCAGCCTTTTAGGAGGCAAGACCAGAATTCTGGCATCTGCTCAATCTCAAAACTTTAGGTATTTGTGTTTAAGCCCTACAAGTCCTTTCCAAAATGGGTTTCTGACCTCAGGGTCAAGATCCTGGGGCAATAAGTACAAGAGCCAATCTATTGCTAAACAGGAATGTTGCACTGGACTCACCCAGGTCAACTCCAAGGAGTTAAGAGTGAGATGCAGGTAAGCCATGGGTTTGAAAGCCTCAACAAGCTCATTTTCTAGCACCAACGGATTGGGGTCATACAACCGAAAGAAACGTGAGCATTGATTATCTCAAACTTTTTACTGCCTAATACCTTTAATAACAACAATTTAAAAAACAAAAAACGGTAAGGGACGTTGCAACTTGGCGACCGAATACAGAGTGTGACCCTAATATAAGTGGCCTCGTCCGAACCTGCTTTTCCAGGCGCCCCCGCCCCCCACCCCCCTAAAGCCGGACCAATCGGGAAAAGCCCGTTGGACTTCCAGGCCGGGTGGGACTCGTCAGATCAGCCCAAGAACTTCCCAGCCAAAAATCACACCCTCAAACCGCACCGAAGGTACCCCCCCGCCCCGCCCGCCATCACTCCCACCAAGCACTTCGGTAAGCGCCCCCAGAAAAAAGTCTTCACCGAGGCACCTGGGATCACCACCACCCCCATTCTGCAGATGGAAAAAGAAAGGCGGGGAAGGGAACCGTAATATCCGAAGCTTCACAGCTAGTAACGGCCCAGGCCAGGGGACAGCTTTTCTACACCTACCACCTGAAAGAGGGGTGCCCTCAGGTCAGCTTCCGAGTCCATTCCAGAAGCTTCTCGAACCGCCCTAATCGA